AAACAAAAAATTATTTAAAGTCAGCATAAAATTCATTGCTAATTTATTTATACCAAAATAAGCTGTATCTTAATTCTAAGAAAATTTTATTTTTAAGTCAATTATAAATTTATTCATTAATACTAATTTTTTTGTATCTGGTGTGGGTTCAAGTTCAAGAGGAAAGAGAGAGATAGAATGATGGGGTATTTTCCTAAGTTCCCTCTCAATTTTTAAATGTTAAACATAACTGAGCATCAATCAAACACTTCTTTTTAATACAATCAATAAAAAAAATTTATAAAATTTTTTAAATGTGGATGTTTTATTTCAGTATTAGTTTATTTAAATGTATTTAAATAAAGTTTTGACTATTTCTTCACTTAAAATAAGCATAACAAATATTAAATGTTGTAACAAAACTAGGAAAATCTTTTTAAAAGGAAATCATATGACACACACATACAAATAAAGTAAATAACTTTTTATAAACAAAAATAATGTGAATGCTATTTCTAAAAAACTTTTTTTTTAAATTTAAATTATGAAAAAGTGTTTTATTGCATTAGAATATAATGTTGACTTCACAACCAGAGTTTAACAAGAGAGACCTCTTAGATCCATCATCATTTCTAAGTGATGAAAAACATAAGTTATTATGGAAGAGTTACAGTTGTTATAAAAGGATACAGGGTATAAATAAAGAAGTAGAACCATATGATATAGTCATATTGAGCCTGAACAAGAAGATGCATCTCTGAATCCATAAGTGTGTCACCTATCAAGCTTAAATCAGTGCCAAAACACCAATGATTATCAGCTGCTAAAAGATAATTTGATCAAACTATTGAACAAATTAAAACTTATGATATTATTCTTAGACTACACTAACCCTATCTTGTAAACCACTAACTTTTTCTATACTCATCTATACTCACTTTTGAATAAATCAAAAGATAAACTAAAATATATGATCATACTTTATGAAAATATATATATATTAACATTAACTCAATAATTATGATCAGAACCAAAGTCTGCAAAAATATTAAATATATTCATTCACTTTATACAAGTGGCTAGAAAACTACAAAAAAAAATTGTTTAAACCATGGTGTATAACCACAGACTCATGGTGTTAACAGTGTTTGTACCTGTACCTATCATTAGAATATTAGGTTGTTAGTTGATGATCTTAAAATTGACAGTCTAAATTTGATGGGTACAATTGTTTGTAATGAGGATACTTCACTGATGGAGATGCATCACTACAAACTTTTAAAAACTCAATCTTTTGAATCTAAAAAAGAAGACTTTGAATGAATGAATGGTTTTGCTACAAGTCATGGTAAGTCTGCATGTGATGGCTTTGGGAACACAGTAAAAATAACTAAACAAATTTAAAAAGGACTGTGCAGATTTTAATCGTAGATAAGATGTTTAAATTTTGTAAAACCAATGCAAAAAAATATTCAATTTATAATGAGTTATAAAACACAAATAAAGGAAGTAAAACCAAGGTTTACTATGGGAAGAATCTTGCCAGGAACAAAATGGTCTTACTATTTTATAACAGTTTCTTTTAAAAAAAGAAGTCAACTGATGTTCCAATATTTAAACTTGTGCAGATACCGAATGTTATTTATAACCATATAGATTATGTAGATTTTATAACTTTTTTTGGCTTAGAAGATGAAGGAGATCAAGATTATAAAATTCAACTTTTGCATCCACACGGCCCCTACCACTTGTCTTTATGAGTTCAAAATTCAACTTTTGCATCCACACGGCCCCTATCACTTGTCTTTATGAGTTCAAAATTGGAAAAAAAAAAAATGAAAGGAGGGGAGGGGGTAGGGTTTATAACCAACTTAAAACAAAAATAACAACAGTAACAAAAAAAAAAAAAAAAAAAAAAAAAAAAAGCATATAATAATTTAAATAGTATAAACTTATTATTGACCTCAAAAGGATCTCAAAAAAAACTTTTAATTTCCGAAAACATTTTATGCCAGCTATTTGAATAAGATTCACATAAAAAAGTTATTTAGAAAAAACAAAAAATGCAATAATGATGTTCATAACTTAAAACAGGTATTGAACCTATGTTTTAAGTTGTGAAAGAAATTTATTAAAGTAAAAAAAAAAATTATCAAGGTGACACCATCATTTTGACCATCAAAGTACTCCAAAAAATATATTATATAGCCATAGTGCTCTGAAAAAACTAAAATTGATATTTGAAACTGCTATGTGGAAGACTGGTTATTTACAAAATTTCAAGTTATATCTTATTCTGCTTAATAAATATTGCTTTTAACGACAAAAAGTTGCAAAAAATGCTAGCCAACATAAATTATAAAATTGAAACTAAAAAATCTCTAAAACCGTAAGGAGTAACTCAAAATAAGCATAATAAATTTAAAAATCTAAAATAATAGATACAATAACTTTTCTATAACATGTAAAAATTAGCAAAATCCAAAACATAGAGCAACATATCCCTGCTGATTTGACATGGAATGACCCTTGCACATAATTAACTAAGAATTGAAGACAAAAATAATAATTAAGTCAATAATATATTTATACATTAATAGTAATTTTTTGGCATCTGGGGTGGGTTCAAGTTCAAAAGGAAAAAGAGAGATAGAATGATGGGGTATTTTCCTAAGTTCCCTCTCAATTTTTAAATGTTAAACATAACTGAGCATCAGTCAAAAACTTCTTTTTAATACAATCAATAATTAGTCTATCATGTTTTAAAAAAATTTTAAAAATTTTTATAAAACATGATAGACTATTAAAAGAATGAGTTTCATAGTGTTTCTTTGCAGGATGTGAAAATTACTTTATTGATCATAGTTCAAAACTAATTTATGTTTTAATAAAAATTTTAATACATTTTTTTTTTATAATTCTTATAAAATAAAATTTAAAAAAACAATGTTATTAACAAAATATAAAAAAAGCTTTATGAACAAGCCACACACCTTTTTCACATCTATTGGCATAAAATGTAAACCCAAGTTACATCATTTCCTGCCAAGGATGAACACTTGTTTTTGACTACTCATAGACTTTTACTCATAGGCACTAGCATGCCACTGAAAATATCATAGTATTGCCATAACATATCAGGCTTGGTCAGGAGGCGGGTGAGATCTCACTCTATATCTTACAGGCTTGGTCGGGAAGCGGGAGCGATCGCTCTCGATTGCTGACCACGTAAATAATATTTAGTTGCGAAAAGCTGGCCAGATTTTTTAGTCGTTTTGAGAACATTTTAAAAAGCAAAAAAAAAAGCGCAAAAGATTAATTGACCAATGAGAGACAATTACAAAAAAAAAAAAAAAATTAGGCAAATAAAATATCATTAAACGCGAAAAAACTTAAAGCTAAATAAATTACGTTTAGAACAAATATTTTCGAAACATCGCTCTTTTATAAATTTTTTTATAAAATTAAGCGATGTTTTTTATATAAAGTAACAACTTACGATTGTTTAAAAATGAAACAAATGCTCTTTATTTAGTAAAGTTTGCAAGTTTTAATTTTAAGCTAAATTATTTTATAAATAAAAAAGTTAATTTTTTTAATAACTATTTTATGTTTCGCGTAGTTTGAAAAGTTTAACATATTTGAAGCAATTCTTCTTAGTAAGATAAACAAATGAAATAATTAAATCATTGAATTACTATAGAAATTAAATTAAAAAGATAGAAATCAACTAAAAAAGTTCAAAATACTTAATGACGAGGAAGCGAAACTGCTTCACAATATCGCTAATGATGTTTAGTGAGTGTGCTTTTTAATTTTAATTAGTATTTAAAACAGAAAAAAGTATAACGAGTTTCAAGAATGGCAACTTAAGCGAAAACAATTAGAGTTAGTAAAACAATATATAGAAACTTTTCTTTATATCTAATTATTTGCTATATATATTTGTGTTCTGCCGTGACCTCAGGCGCAGTACTTGTTTATCCGCCAAATACTTTGTATGCGTTGTTTGTGTTTAGTAACCAGAAACTTTTTATACGTTTGTTACATAATTAGTTTTATTAACTATAACAATTATAACTTCATTGAAAACGCAATTATTTTTGTAAGTCTTTGTTTAAATCATAAAAATTGCTTTAAAAATACATTCAATAAAAAACAGATACACAAAATTACATTTACATAAAGATTACATACTTTTTAAATGAAAAATAAGAATATACTAATAAAATCTATAATTTATAATAAACTTTTGAAATTTTTACAATTTAATATATATTTAAAATATTTATTTTTGTAAATAAATAATATATAATTTAAAACAAGAAAACTAGAAATCTCAAAACGTAACAAATCGTGAGTTATACAATTCCTAAAACATTTTAACAGAATACTCTAGAACTTTATTTTGCTAAGACGGGTTTTTCGTGTTGGCGAATATTGATGTTTTGAGAACATTATAGTTTATTATGTTTCCATGTATGTCCGTAAAACAAAAATTTTTTATATTGTACAAAAACTTAAATGACTAAAAAACCTGGCCAGTTTTTCGCAACTAAATATAATTTCCGTGGTCAGTATTCGAGAGCGATCGCTCCCGCTTCCCGACCAAGCCTGATCTTACCACATATATAATATTAGTTGCGACAACATGACCACAGCTTTTTAGATTTTATGAAAACATTTCAAAAAGCGCAACAAAAAAAACAACATAACTTGACGGGAGACAACTACTAAAAATTAACTAAAATAAGAAATGAATTCTTTATAAAGAAAAAACATAACTAAAAAAAAATTAATTACGTTTAGAATAAATTATTTCTAAACTTCTCTCTTTCATAATATTTTTATAAAATTAAGCAACACTTATAAAATGTAACAAATGATGTAATTAATGATCGTTTAGTAAAGAAACAAACATTCTTCAATTTATCATATAAAGCATATTATATAATTCTTTTATTTATAAATTTTTTAAGATTTTTTACACATTAATACTTTACTAAGATTCAAAAGCATACCTTTGAACTTGAATTTGATTATTTCTTAAACTAGTTTGCCACAAAGCTGAAACAGTTTCTGTCTCCTTACGTGAAGGATTTCCAGCAACATTAGCAAAAATCATTAATGGTTGTCCTTTTTTCGATGCTTTTAAAATTTCTTCTTGACTACCGCCAGCTTTAAAAATCTCTTCCATATTGATTTTTGGTCTTGGTTTTAAGCGAGGATCATCTGTATCTTCATCTTCATCATCCTCATCATTTTCCTAAGCACAAAAAATTGTTTTTTATAAATTTGAAAACTAAATTAACTATTTTAATTCCTGAAAACAGAAATTTCAATTATTAAGAAGGATTTTCTCCAAAATGAGCTCATATCTCTGCAACAAAAAATACTGTTGAGCTGATAACTAACAGAAAATGAGTTTATTGTTTGCGGCAGTTAAAAAAGCAGCCAAACCCATAATAGGTCATTACTAAGTTCAGTTAAACCATGTGGGCCTATTTCACACTTTATGTTGGCTAAAAAGATATTATTCATATTAAATGCCATATGTTTATCTTACTTATGGTGTACAAAAAAATTTTAGTCAAATTAAAAAGCCAAATCAAAAGCTATTGATCTTATTTAGATATGCAACTATACAAGTTCAGAAAAACTGATTTTATTTCTTTCGAAAGAACGTCATTTAAAATATGATAATTGTATTTAAACAGCCATATTTTATTAGTGTCACATTTGAATTGCCTTAAAACTTAGACATTTTTATATTTAAATTTTTTTTATTAATATTTTTTTATATTTAAATTTTTTTATTATGTCGTCATTATGATCAGGTAAAAACAAAAATTGCACAAGGAATAGACAAACATAGTCGGAAACCACTCAACAAGATTTAGAAATGTTTAAATTTTCTAGATTTACATTTGTACTGTGAATCAATCTCTAAGTAGCCCCCAAATTTAGTCCCCCATCATATTTTTGTTATACTGTCCTTGGTAACAACTTTACAAGTCCGATATATTTTGATAAATGCCCTTACCTTGTTCCTCGGAGTAAGCACCTATATTCTCCTTGATTTTGTCAAGATGCGAATCAAGGATATGGACTTTTAGAGACATTCTGCATTCCGTTTTGGCGTAATTTTTTATGAGAGTTTGCATCAACTCCACATAGTTTTCAACTTATGTGATTACCTAGGAAGCCCTGAACAACTGCAACAAAACTGCACCAAGCTGCTCTCTCTGTCCTGTTTAACAGCTTTGAGAAAACCCTCACATTCTATGATCTTCTTGATCAGTGGTCCGACAAATACCAGCCCTGGCCGTAGTCTTGGACAGCTTAGGAAAAAGATTTTAGTGGTATTGAAATGCTGCTGACTCAATTTGTCAGCAGCTTTTCAAAAATTCCTCATTAAGCAATTTGTCACTGCCAAGAGCAGTGACAAATTGCTTAATGAGGCCTAACTTGATGTGCATCCGTGGCATAAGCACTTTATGAGGTTCTATCAGCGGCTCCTATTTCAATATTATAGGAGGAGGGTTGGCATTGAAAGCAAATTAAGAATTTTCTCAAAAACATTTGATATTCCAAATTTCATTGTCTCCGTCACAGAAACATAGTTTTTCTGGAATAACAGCCATTTCCTTTCTGTTCTAGACCCAATGTGTTAGGAAAACACACTTTCAACCTAGGAACAGAAAAAAAATGAAACTTGTTACGTCGTGTAATTTGTTTAGTGTATAGTGGTAACCTCAATTTATTTTTAAATTTGATAACTTTTAAAACAATGACGCACACAAGTATATGTATATACTCAAGCAAAGTGATTGCCTAATTAAAGTGAAACAAAATAAAAAAGCTCATAAATAAAAAATTAATAGTACATAAAGGTTTTAACATGATTCTTTTTCATAGGTTTATTTAAAAGATGATTTTAGATCAAAATGTCTATAAAACTATTATTGTTTGAATATGTTTAATCCCCACCATATCCCTGGTAGTAACATGCTTGAATTGTTTCTCCAAACAGTGGCATTGTTCATCAGGGTTCGTGTTTCAAAGTTATATAATTGAGAGAGTTGTTACCACAACTAAAGTGGCCTTCTTGACTGCAGTGGCCATTATGGCTCTGAGGAGATGAATTGAAAGAAGAAAAAAAAAGAAAAAAATGTTTAATTTAATTTTCACATAATTTATGCACAAATTTTCAGCTTAAGGAATTTACTGTTTGACTTATTTGAAGCCTTATATATTCTATTAGCCAAATCTGAAAATAATTTTACAGATATTTAACAACTATGTTTATTATTTGCTAATTATAAGTATTTGAAAGTTTAATATTTTAAAAACTACATTGCAAGCATAGTTTTCAAAAGAAAATAGATTCTTAAACCTAAACAATATAACATGAATTTCACATTTATTAACTTATTAGCCAAGAAAAATAAACTAGAAGACAAATAGACTTTTTTTTTAAAAAAAAAAACTAATTTACTCCCAAAAGGTGCCACTAATAAGTTAGGAGTTACTAAAAAACAAAGAATAGTGTTAAAGAGGAAGGAAAAGGTTGACAGAAGAGTCAGGAAAACACGAAAAAGAAGAGAGTTCTAAAGCAATGATGCGAGGAAAAAAACTTTATGCGAGGAAAAAATATTTTAAGTTTTTTTCCTCACTATTAAAAAATAAAAGTTTTTTGACCATGAAGGGACAAATACAATAAAAAGGATAAGACTATGCTGAATGATGAGTCAAGCAAGAATGAGTTTTAGTTAATGGAACTAGAAATGATAGTTCCTTTGAGATTATAATAGAATTTGTAGAAAAGAGAAAGAGATGCAACTTTACAACAATGGGAGAAAGATTCAAGCTTGGCAGAATAGGTCCAACTACATTTACAATGCATTTTTGAGCCTTGTCTTGAGGAGAAAGAAGATCTTAACAGCAGTATTCTATATATGGACAAATAATAGATTAGTAGAGGTAGGTAATGGATTAAAGAGTAAGAAAATGGCAAGCACAATAAAGAAAAACAATTTAGAAGATGCTAACTTTGTAATAGATTGTATATATGGTTTCCGTAATAGGTAAGTAATGAATGATAATACAAGACAATGTAAAAAAGAAGACTTTTAGTGAAAAGGTTGCCAATTTATAAATAAAGGAATGTAAACAAAATTGCAATAGTTCTTTGCAGTAAATAGCTGAGTTTTGTTAGAGTTACAATTCACTGCAAGCCCAAAGCTGTTACAGAAGAGAGAACAGATTCAAGATTGTATGTCTGTTATATGCGATTGATAAAAAAAAAAATTATGTCAAGGCATGAGTATAAAAATGAGTTGTCGACAATCAGAGCCAGTTTAAATGTCGGGTAGATCAATAATAAGATATATATGATAATATGTAAATAAGAAACAATATAGGACCTAGGATAGTACCTTGCAGTACCCCAGAAGTTACTGGAAATAAAGAAGAGTGTTGGCCTTCCAGGATGATTTTAATACTTCAGCTAGAAAGAAATGATTTAATAGTCTTAAAATATGAAACCATTATGAGGGTTTATTTATGAAATTTTGTTGATTAATGGAAAAGTCAAACACAAGTAAATGTAACTTTACTCAATGTCCATATTTACATTGTTAAAAGTTAAAACTCAAAAATCTTTTGAGTTTTAACTTTTAACAATGTAAATATGGACATTTTCTTAGTTTTGAGACTTTTCGTCTTTTTTATTTTTATAAATTTAGTTTTTGTTATCTTTTTATAAAATTTTAGTTTTAAATTTGTTTTTAAAAAAATTCTCTAAAAAATTTTTTACCTACACGCTTGATTATGGTTAATCCAGCTGCACGCCTACCTACACGCCTACCTACACGCTTGATTATGGTTAATCCAGATATATACAGTTATAAGTACATGTTTGGAAATTTTAAAAGTTAAAAAAAAATTGTAAAACAGCATTTTAAATTTAAAAAAAATTTAAACTAAAATTTAAAATAAATTTAAACTAAAATTTAAAATAAACTAAAAATTATTAATTATTTAATAATAAACTTAAATAAAAAATAAATTTAAATTAAAAATATATTTAACTACCTGTTTTTTATCGGAAATTTTTTTTTTCACTATTGCAGTGAAAATGATTTTTAAAACAATTATTACTTAATGTTTTCGGCATTAACTATTTTAAAAAACTGATTTTAAACTGACTAAAAAAAGATTTTAAGATATCTGCTATGGCTTAACACATAGGTGAAATTGCCATTTTGTACTAATAATAGAGAGAAGAATGCTAATAATATAGGAAAGACTGGGCAGATGATAGTTGGAGGAATCAGAGTGTTCTTCAGAGTTTTTTAAAAATTGAAACCACAGATGCCATTTTCCAGCAAGCAAGAAAACAAGATTCAGGAACGATTTGGATGTCTAACAATAGATTACCCAATTTAACTAGAATATTGTGCTTCCTGAAGTCATATTGAAAATCTAGATTGCTTGAGATGTCTGGGAAAAAACTTGATTGTGAGCCAAATATTAAACCACTAGTCTACTATCACATATTAACGATGCTCTAGGTGAATCCTTCAACTATAAATAAGGTTGATTAATTGCATTAAAATAAAAACATGCTCAGAACACTTTTGACTAAGAAAAACCACAATAAAAATTATCCACTGAGTTATTCAAACTTGGTAAGACAATCTAAATGTTGCTAATTTTTTTTATACTAATATGTTCAATGCTACTTCAAAAACCAGTTAGCACAAGTTTATAACATGTAATCTATAAATTAGCATAATAGAAGAAAACTGCTAGCCTAATCACTACCTTTTTTTAACAGAATATTATAGTATAAAGCTTCCTGGAAAAATCCTGATTAGTAAGCAAACAGGGTTGATATTTGACCGGGGACATGGCAGGGTTTGATAAAATATAGTAGGGGTTAGCAGGCTTGGTCGGGAAGCGGGTGCGATCGCACTCGATAATTGACCACGGAAATTATATTTACTTGCGAAAAGCTGGACAGATTTTTCAAGCGTTTTGAGAACATTTCAGTTTATATATGTTTCCTTGTTTGTCCGCAAAATAATAAGTTCATTTTATCGTAAATTTATAAGATTTTTTTTTACGGACGTACATGGAAACTTATATAAACTTGAATGTTGTCAAACGTCTTAGTGCGGAAAAATAAATAAAGAATATTCGCGAACACAAAAAACCCGCCAAATTTACGAACAACTAATTCTATTAGTTCAATTAATAAATAACTGAAATTACTACGCGACTGTTCTAGAGTATTCTGTTGAATTATTTTTCAAAATCTTTTTTTTTTGTTTTTGTTTTTGTTATTTTTTCATTGAGAATTCTAGCATCAATTGTTTTAAGTATATACTATCAAACGAACAATTATTTTAATACAATGGCTCATTCTCGGAGTCACATCCATAAAGCTATAAATGTTTTAAACTAACATTTGTTTACAAAAATAAACGTTTTAAATTTATATTTTTTAACTTGTCAACGTTTTGTAAATATATTATAGATTTAATTAGTATAATCTTATTTTTTATATATAAGGGACGTATTTATATGTATGTAATGTATTAGAAATTGGTTTATTAACTTCAATTATTTTTGCTTCAGCCATTCTTACAAACTCGTTATACTTACACTTAAAGTTTTTTTTTCTGTAAAATACTAGTTAAAGATATAAAGCCCACTCACTAAACATCATCAGCGATATTGTTAAGCAGTTCTGCTTCCTCCTTACAAAGTAATTTAACGTTTTTAGTTAATTTCTATCTAGCTAATTAAATTTCCACAGTAACTCAATGATTTAGTTATTTTATTTGTTCATCTTACTAAGAAGAATTGTTTCAAATATGTTAAACTTTTCAAACTACGCGAAGCATAAAACTGGTACTGAAAAAACTTTTTTTATTTATAATTAAATTATGTAGCGTTAGTTTTATTGGTTTAATCTTGTTGGACTTTACAGGGCCGGGGGTTGCATTATTTTGGTGGCCTTTTTTATATGCGACAGCGTAAAAATGACTTAAAAATACCGATAGGTCCTCTTGACTATTTCTCGGCCCATAACATTGTGTGTCCCGGGACTATAGCTCTTCTACCCCCCCCTGCCCACCTCTTATTTCCAGCACTGTAAATAAGACATAAGTATATAAATAAAAATTATATATAATCTTTGATAAATTGAAACATTTGTTTCTTTATTAAACAATCATTATTAGTACGTTGTTACTATATACAAAAAATGTCGCTTTTTTTTAAAAAAAAAATTATAAAAGAGCGACATTTCAAAAATATTTTGAAACTCTAATCGCATTTATTTTGCTTAAAGTTTTGCGTTAAAAGCTATTTTTCTTTTTTTTAACTGTCTCTCATCGGTCCAGTTTATCTTATTGCGCTTTTTTGCTTGTTTTTGAAATGTTCTCAAAACGCCTAAAAAATCTGGCCGGCTTTTCGCAACTAAATATAATTTCCGTGGTCAAATATCGAGTGCGATCGCACCCGCTTCCCGACTAAGCCTGGGTTAGGGTCAAGTTTGTGACTGGGGCTGCATTAACACTTATACATCCTTAAGTATATTTTTCTTATTCAAAATTCATGTTGTATAATGTATTTATATGCATATATAAACATTATGATCAACATCATCATCATAATCATCATCGCCATCATGATCGTTATGATGATCATGATGATGATCATCATCATCATCAGCATCCAGGGGTGTACCCTCATGGTTGTCTGGTTGCACGAGACGATTCATTTTTGCCAAGGGCAAATTTAAAAAAAAAGCCTGGCAGGATGACCAGACAGTTTGTTACTTACAAAAGTGTGTTTATTAATAAAACCAAATTTTGATCTATGAAGATTTTATTCCTTTTATTTAAAAAAAAACTTTAAAAAGCATTTAAAGTAGTTTAACGATGAGTTAATAATAACAAAACAATAACAAATGACTACTTTAAATGCACTATGATGCATTATTTCACCAAACTTAATAAAAAGAAGCCGACACGTGATTTAATATTTTGAAGTGCAACTGCACTGTTTTTTTAAATATTATTGTTGCATATTGAAGCACGTTTAATCTCAATTTAAAATGAGCTTTTAAATTATATTTTCTTACATTTCCAAATGTTATTGTATCATTTTTTAAACCTTATAGTTGCATTTTAATCATTAATAACCCTGAATCTCTTTTGTTTTTCATTAGTAAAAGAAATTTCTATTCTAAATTTGTCAAAAAAAATTAACAAAATTAAAAACATTACTAAGATGCATGTGAAAAATCATTATTAGAACATAATTAAATATGCGCATGGAGATTTTTTTCTAAAAAAAGTCTTAATAAAAAATTTTTAAAACATAAAAAATATACAGATATTGACTACAACCAAAATGACGACACATCTTTAATTATTTTAATTAATAAATTAATTAATTTACTTTTAAATAAACTGATTCTTAATAGACCTATTTTAGTAGTCAAACATACAATATGCTTTTAGACTTTATCTGAGTGTAAGAGGTTTGTTATTTGTCAATATAAGAATCCCAACAATATTACAATATTTTTTTGCAGTAAATAAGTGAGTTTTGTCTAACAAAAATTGTGGATTTTAAGTCCAGAATTTAAATCTGCAACCCTGTTACAGAGGAAAGATCAGATAAAAATTCTTGTTCTAAGCAATCAAAAAGTGAAAATTTTTTGTCAAAACAAATCTTCACTTTTTGTGTAGTATAAATTTGAGTCATCAGCAAATAGAGCCGCTTTAGATGTAAAATTTTCATGAAGATTGTTATTATAATGAGAAACAATAGAGGAGCAAAGATAGAACCTTGTAGTACCCTTAAAGTTACTTGAAAAGAAGAAGAGTGTAGGCCTTCAAGAATAACAAAATTTAATACTGCAGTTAGAAAAAAATAATTTAATAATCTTAAAAACTTTATATAAAGAAACTAATAACAGAGTGAAGACTAAAGAGGTCAAAGTGTTATCTAGAGTTTTAAAAAATTGGAACCACTTGTTTTGCACTTTTATAAAGTTAAGCAAAAATTGAAGAGAGTTCTGGAGAACGCTTTTTTAAGACTATGATGAAAATCTTGTCTGGAGCACAAACTGAATTTTGCTGTTTATAACATAAACTTTAAAAAATAAAGATCAAATACCAATAAAAAATGACAGATCTAAAGCGCTTGTTCAGACGTATAGGTATTTCAGAGGAGAGAAAGATAAAATAACTAGTTAGCTTCTGTACTTTAAAATTTAGTTAATAGAACGATTTTATTTTTATTTTTAAATATTTAACTAATTTGTTTAAAAATTAATAAATTATCAAATTGCTACAAAAAATGATTGACTGGATTTTGGATTGTTTTGTAAGGAGTTCAAACTAAAAATTATATTCTAAATACCATTTTATATATAAATACAGTGTATGCAAGAGCATTTACAGTATAAAACTTGCAATTTATTTATGATAAAGCATTTATAGAAGCTAAAATTAGACATATTTGTTGTAAAATAAGTAGGTTTTTTGGGGTTTTTTAAGGGTAATTTTTTTTCATACATAAAACAATTTTTTTATCAATGTTGCAGTTACTTAAACTCATATTTATTTTAACATAAATTTTAATTTAATAGTTCATTAAGAATATTGTCAAATTATTTATCATATTTTTACAGTTATTTTTACTTACATTCCACTGATCGAGAAGTTTTTCAACATCAACATCGTTGTAATCACCTACATTTTTTCCAATTTTATTAACTTTTTGTTTACTATTTTTAGAAGAAGCTACTATTAAAATATTGAACAGCAAAAACAATTTGAAAAGAAATTGTAAATGATTATACCGCGCCATTTTTTGTATAATTTTTAACTACAGCAAAATATATTTTGTAATTTGTGTTCGTTTAAATCATAGTCACAGTCTGGAAGCAAACAAA